GCAAGGAAGTTAAAATGGATAGACAAGGTGGCTCATACCTGTAGCTATCTGGGAAGCAGAAGTAAGAGGATCACGTGAGACTAGTCTGGGCAACACAGGAAGACTACATGTCAAAAGAGGAAGAAAGTGGGAAGATAGACAAATACTATTAATTAGTATGTACTGCAAAATACATTCAAATATAAGTTCAAAGTTCAATACTACATATCACAATTTCGATTATCTTTGGAGTCTTGCTGATACAAACCCATGTCATGACTATACTCATTATACTCAGTGCAATTAGTTCTAACTCATTCAATATCCTGTAGGAATAGATTGCAGTTTGATATAATCTCTTATCATGTAAAATTCAAATTTAAAAAACCATTTTGTAATAAATGTCACTAAAATATGTATACATCAACTGAAAAGTCTACTCTTAAAAAATAAAATCCAGCTTTATTCTTGATGTGACAAAGAAATACAGTAATATTTAATTTTAAAAAGATACAATTTTTCTAACAAATGAACCTGGCACAAAGAGTCACAGTTGTATCCACTTCCTGCCATAATGCCAGCAGGAAGTACATCCAATTTCAAGTTCCTCTGAAGCCAGTGAGTTGGCAGAACACAAACAGCCAAAATGAGGAACACATGGTATTCATTTCTGAAAGAAATCGGCAATGGGGTACAACCAGGAGGTGAAGCCATCTGTCACAAGAAAAAGAAATGGCAGCAGCTAACAATAACTATAATAGGCAACCTCAACCTGGGCAGAGTCAAGTTTCAGATTTTAATTCCAGCTAATTCTTATAAGGAGCAAGTTTTCCAAATTATTAGTGTCAAATTATGAACAGAATGAACAAGAGGAAGAAAAACCACCCGCCAACACTGAAACCTATGGAAAGCAACAACACAGTAGCAAATACAAACCACAAATATAGAAATTCAAAAACTGGCCAACATTTTGACAAATTCAATTCCCTCTTGCAGGGAAGCACTGGTATTTTTACGTGGTGGTTCTAACTCATATTTGCCCAAGATTTCAAAATGAATGAAGAAGCAACTTCCCTAATATCAAGGAAAAATAAACCACATAGGATAAACAATCAACACAAAAAAAAAGAGTAACATTCCTGTACATCAATAACAAATCCACTGACAAAGAAATCAGTAAAACAATTCAATTTACAATAACTTCAAAATAATTAAATATCCAGAAATCAACATAATCAGGAATGTAAAGATTTTCATAATAAAAATTATATAACTCTGATGAAAGATTAAAGACGACATTAGAGCAATCAGGAGGCTGAGACAAGAGGATTGCTGTGAGGTCAAGACCAGCCTGGGTTACATAGTGAGTTCCAGTTCAGTCTCAACTGCATAGTGAGACCCTGTCTCAGAAAACAACAACAAAAAAAAAGAAGACATGAGAAAATGGAAGGATATCTCATGGTCTTGGATTGGGAGAACTAATATCAGGAAACTGGCAATATTTCCAAAAGTGATCTACAAATTTAATGCAATACCTATAAAAATGCCAACAATATTCAACATTCATCACACAACTAGGAAAAATAATCCTTAATTTCATATGGAACTGGAAAAATACCCAGAATAGCCAAAGGACCCTGAGCAAAAAAGACAAAGCTAGAGGCATCACAATACCACAATTCAAAAGCAACATGGTACTGGCACAAAAATAGACCTGTAGAACACTGAACAGAACAAAAGATTCAGAAACAGATTCATGGAGTCCAAATCAAAACTAGAATTTATGTCCTTTGATATAAAATTATGTGTTCTGTCCACTCTACAACTGATCTTCAAGCCTATCAGACCCAATATTGCCCCTAAATAACCCTTTTACTATCCTGAAATGTAATATGAAAATGCTGGGACACAACTACACCAAAAGACAAGCACACTCACAAAGGGAAATCCGATGGGTGACCACACTAGCAAAAATCCAAGATTGCTGAAGTGGTTTTCCAAAATAATAAAAACTCTAGGGTAGGCTTCCAAACAAAACAAAGTACCATCTTCCATAAACTTATACAATGGTCCCACTGCTAAAAATTTCAATGCACATTAAAGCCATTCAAAACATGAGATTGTACTTATGCATACTTATGCAACTCAGATCACTATGAACAGATTTTTTTAACTACACAAATTTCTGGCAAGACATTTGAAAATCATATGGAATGAGGGAAAACTTTCAATGTCTAGACCAATCTGAGGCAAACCAGTAGAGTCTCTCTTGAAATAAATATCTTTCCTCAGTAATACTAAGAGAATTCCAAGAATTTTATCTGCTATCACTTAAGTAGACTGTCTTTTTCCTACTTGATCTCTTCAAAATGCTCTGTACCAAAATTATTATGTGTACCACAAATATTGTGAATACCATAATTTTATGCATATTATCTTTTTTTTTTAAAGGGTTTTTTTTGGGGGGGGTACCGGGGATCAAACTCAGGTCCTTGCACTTGCAAGGCAGGCAAGCAGAACCACTGAGCTAAATCCCTGGCCCACATATTATCTTTTCAATAAATGCTTTTGTAGTAAAACGTGAAATAAACCTCCATGAAACTACAGGATAGAAAGACTGGAAACACTCATTAAAGTATGCTTCTCTCTTAAGAAGAAAGCACCTATTCAAACTTTCTTTTCTGTGAAGAACAGACATGTTGCAAGAATAAGTTGCTAATTATTCAGTTTATTCTGAAAGTGAGAGAACTCAATTTTAAGGTGTCCAAATACTGGCAGGAAATGCTTATTAAGCATCTCTCATGGAAAGTTTTTTACAATCTCTATTATCTGATTTGTGTCTGAGGAACACAGTACAGTAACTTCTTCTCCATCCCATTAAGCTTAACAGGGTTTTAAGCCTTTGATTAAAGAAAATCAAAAGTATTTCCTAAATTCTCCCAATCCCTCAATAAATTTTACACAATAATTTTTAGTCCCCAGTAATGTTTTTTCCTTGAAATAAAATGAATGCTTACAGGAGGTTTATAATGTTAAGTACAATGCAATTGTTTTTTTTTTTCAATGTTTTTAAATACTGTAATACTGTGCTTAACCAAGTATTATTTCTGAATAACTATTGTAGCAGTTTTGCTTTCATTTTATACCATTATCCCAGACCAGGAACAACAACAATACTGAGTAGTACTTCTCCAAACTCATTTTTTTTTTTTTTTTTTTTTAAGACAGAGTCTTTCCATGTTACCTAGGCTGGCTTCAAACTCAGTTCTCCTGACTCACCTTTCCAAGCAGCTGTGATTACAGGCATGTGCCAGAATGCCTGATCCATCCAAAAACCCTTAATCCCATAATTATGAATTAACCGTAACATATCATTTATACATTTGATGATCAAAACACTTGAATTATAAACTTTGTCTTTCTCCTCAGATTTCACAGAGCATAAGCAATATAGACAATGAAGAGGGCTGGGGATTTAGCTCAGTGGCACTGTGCCTGCCTTGCAAGCATAAGGTTCTGAATTCGACCCCCAATACTGCAAAAACAAAACAAAACAAAACAAAAATACTATTGTTGGGCGTGGTGGCACACGCCTGTAATCCCAGCACTCGGAAGGCTGAGGCAGGAGGATCGCTGTGAGTGTAGCCTGGGCTATATAGTGAGTTCCAGGTCAGTCTCAACTACATAGTGAGACCCTGTCTCAAAAAACAAAAACAAAAAAAGACAATGAAGAGACAACCTGTTAAGCTATTTTCTTCAATTATGCTTCTAGGATACATCTATGAATATGGATGACAAAGTTTCTAAACAAAATTGTACGGCACAAAGGAAAAGTTACATTATATTGGCTAATAAAATGGTTCAAACTCAACATTTCTTATGCTTATAGGAGCAAGAAAAAAAGGGAGGGCTGGGGATTTAGCTCAGTGGTTCCGCTGCCTGTACCGCAAGTGCAAGGTCCCAAATTTAATCCCCAGTACCGAAGAAAAAAAATGGATATCTTTTTTGCCACGCAGAGACTTATAAAGTAAATGAAAATGAAACACACAAAATAAAAAACTCACACATAATACTCCAACTCTGGTAAGAGGTGACATATAATCATGGTCTTAATTCCTTAAAACCCCTTTAAAACTACTGTACTATGTTCCTCCAATACAAATCAGGTAATAAAGATGATAAAAAATTTTCCATGACAGTGGCTTAATATGCATTTCCTGCCAAATTTGAACTCCTTAAAACTGAGCTCGCTCACTTCCAGAATTTTACAATGCTTTCTAATAGTTATTTTGGTAATATAGCTTCCAATTGTCTAGAAATCCCCTTCTTTCTTTGGAGTAAAATAACACTGTTCAGAAAATAATTTCTAAAATATGCATTTACTATTGGGGAATTCAGTTCCTCTTCCATTTAGTTATGGATGAATATAGTTACAGGAAATAGCATCTAGACACTGGAAGAATAAATCTAAGAATTAATTTGGAAATACTTACAACCAAAAGTTGATCCTGACCCTTTAATTCTTTCATAGTAAAAACTGGCTAACTGATGAGAAAGAGGAATTCTTATCACAAAACCTCAAGAAAGTACTACAGCCTGCTTAAGACAGCTGACCCAAGGAATCTCTGTAAAGATTGAGAAACAGATGCTATCAACATCAAAGAAACAAAACAATGGCCATTTTGGTATTTTTTTAATTACTCATTATTACTAAAAAAAAAAAGAATAAATTCTAAACAATGGAAAAGAATCTTGTTTATGTCATAAACCATAATACGTTTTGTAACAGTGAACGGAAGAGAGAAGAAAGCATTAGCATAATGGGGAACAAGCACACACACAGTACCCAGTTAAAAAACAAGGCCTCAGCAAATCTGAAAAAGGCTGATACACATAAAAAGACATAAAATATTAAAATAGGGCAAGGAAAAGTAAATGAATTAAGTGTGAAAAGAAAAACCAATTACTCATTTTTATATACATAAATTCAGTCAATAATATAGATGACATATATAACTAACCTGGTTTTCTTCCTGCACAACTCTATACTGTTCCTTCCAAATGGTGATTTTAGAAGCTTCATCTTTTCTCAGGGCTCTCTCTTTCTTCAGTTCTGGGCTCCAAAAGGTCTTGATGCTATTCATTGAAGAACTCAATTTGCTCTCCTTTACTTCTACATCCTTCCTCAAGAGATCATTTTCCCTTAATACCTCCTTCAGCTGTGTCTGCAAATCCATGATAGTATTATCTCTTGCCTGACGAAGAGAGTGAGGTACAGTGGATGCCAAACTCACAGGAGGGAGGTGATGCTCTCCAAATGCTATGGTGTCACTAGCAACCCCACTACTGGCTATATTGGGGCTACTGCCCATAGCTGTCATCCTAACACCATAAGGCAGATGTCCCCCAGAACGGCCAAGTGTCATGGTGCTTTTAGGTGTTTCTGAACCTACATTTTCATGGTCACTTAGGTACATAGGGCCAGATGTAGCATAGGCAGCATTTAAGGATTGTATATTCTCCATTGAAAGAGTTTTTCCACTGCCACCTCCAACACTGCTTCCAGAACTCCCTCCTGTACTGTTGGTCCGACGGTGCCCTAAGCGAGGGGAGCGTGGAAGCCTGGGTGAACGCCCAGGGCTCTGGTTGCTTGGTTCTACTTTCCCAACTGAGCGGGAACTCCCATACATGGTTGCAAGGTGAACTCAGATGCCAAGAAAGGTGTATAGCAGAAAAAAATGGAACTCCGTGAGGTTTCTCTTTGTAAGTCAGCTTAAAGCTATCAGAAATAACAGGTCACCAGCAGTCCGGTCTTGAAGAAATATCTTACGCCATATCTGTAATGGAAAGATCACACATTAAATCCTCCATTCATAAATATTTCTCTTCTCAAAACCTTCCATCATCCCTACCTGAGAAAAAGCCCCCTTCTATCATATATTTACTCATAGATTCAAGAAGTGGTAACAGCACAATGTGTTTCATAGTAAATACCATTATAAAAAAAATTGGGGGGAGGGGGCAAGCCACCGAACCGCTGAGCTAAATCCCCGGCCCGCTAAAAATGTATTTTATATGTTGAAAAACAACACTAAAACTATACCATGCAACTAGAAAAGAAAAAAGGTATAAAGACTGACAAGAAAGAGATAAAATTCAATGCTTGAATATATGATTTTCTTACTATAAACCTACAACTACCAACTAATGTATTATCAGAACTAGTAGCAGAGTTCAAAATACTAATCACACCAAGATCAATGTATAAATTTTAATATTCTCATGTACATTGGTAACAAGTTAGAAACGCAGTTTTTAATTTAAAATTTTTTAAATTCCATTCACAATAACAGCAAAACTGCAAGAGTACTTTTATATAAATGTAATAAAACACTCAAGCATTTTTGGAAAAAAAATCTAAAACCCACTGAAAGACATGAAAGGATAAATGAACAAAAGGAAAGTTAACCAAGTTGAAGGATGAGAAGACAAACATCATACGGGTGTTTGCTTCTTCCCCAACTACTTAGCACATTCCCAACAAAAATACCTACAGAATTTTTCACATAACTCAAAAAGCTGATTCTAACATTCAATGGATAAAGGTAAAAGGAATAACCAAAACAATCTGAAACAAATACACAAAAAAGGAGGACATTCCCAAACAGCAAGACAAATTATAGATCTATATTCCTTTATCTGTTAAAAAAAAAGCTCTTAAGATAAATGTTTTAATCATTATGCAGCAAAATTTGACCAGATCTAATAGAGAGTTATTGTTTATATGTAAATCATTGAATGTAACATTTCATACATTTCATTATAGTCCACAATACCCCCAAAGTATTAACCGACAAGATTCTGGGCCAAAAAAAAAAAAAACCCCACACCTGACTACCAGGATTTCTTACAAAGAATTTCGGTCATGTAAAATCATAGTAACTAATACTATAGTCCTAGTACAGGAATAGAGTATAAATTATATATGCAAGTTTAATATATCCTTTAACATTTCAAAACAAAAAAATTATTCAATAAATGGGGTCTGAACAGTTAGTATTTTTGGAAAAAATACTTCATATGACACAATGAAATAAATTCCATGTACATTAAAGATATAATTTTTTTAAATATTAAAAGTACTAGAAGAAAATGTAAGAGAATATCCTTGTAAACCTGAGTTAGGATAAAGTTACTTAACCAGAAAGCAAAAATCATACAGAAAAACTAACACACTTAATCATGTCAAAATGGCAAAATACTACACCAAAAAACAACCCTACATAAAATGTCCAGATAAGTCAAAAACTAAGTGAAAAATATATTCAACATGTGTATAAAGATCTGTTACTATATACAGAAATCCTATATGGGAAACACTAAACTTGAAAAAGCAAATGTTAGAGAGAAGGAAGCTATACTTACAAAGCTTTTTCTTAAAACTATGATAAAATTTAAATTTTTTACACAAGAAAATATGTTCTTACTCTGTAAGAATAATTAAAATTTAAAAACACATACTATATCTATCTACTTTCCACACTTCTCTCAAAGATAAATCAGTACACCAATGTTTCAATTTTACAAAATCAACTTACACTATTTCTCCAGTTTTTACCTTTTTTTTCTTGTGTTGTTTAATAATTTTTGTTTTGTGTTTGCTGTTTGTTGATTTGTTTGCTTGCTTGCTTGCTTTCTGAGATACAATTTCACCCTGTAGTCCAGGCTGGCCCTGAACTTTATGATCCTCTGTTATCAGCCTCCTGAGCACTAGGATTATCATGGGCTAACAGGCCTGGCTCCTTTTCTTGTTTTTTAGACATGAGTTTTCACCATGTTGTCCAGGCTGGCTGGAAACTCCTGAGCTCAAACACTCCTCCTGCCCAGCCTCCTGAATAGTTGAGACCAGAGGCACACACAAATCAATATGTCCAGCAGACTTTCAGCTTTACAATGGTACAAATGTTATATTCAGTAGATACCATATCTCCAATTTTGAATTCTGATCTTTTTCTAGGTAGCTGGGAGATGTGGAGTAGCATCAGGAGGCACAGCTCCTAGTCAGCTACCCAACTGTGAAAGTAAACAATCAAAATTCTCGAGTACACTGTTACTAAGCTATGACATTTAGTAAGCTAGGTGTAGTCAATGCTTTTGAAAAACATTTTCTACTTATAATAGGTTTATCAGGACATGCTCTCATCATAAATCAAGTACTATCTATATCTCTAAACTAAATCTCTGATTTCCTGACATGATTCTTCCAAAGTATTGCCTTAAGTAACAACTGGCTTCAGCCTATTAATAATATTTTCAGCCGGGGATTTGACTCAGTGGTTCTGCTGCCTGCCTCGAAAGCACAAGGGCCCAAGTTCCACCCCCAGTACCAAAAAAAAAAAAAAAAGAAAAAGAAAAGAAAAGAAAAGAAAGAAAAAGCCTCTTATTAATGTTTTCCCAAAATGTATTATTATGTAGAATTTATCTTATAAATGCTACTTCACAGAAAATGGTATCCAAGTAAACCATATGGTCAAAAATAGATCTGTTTTGTTTTGTTTTGTTTTTGTTTTTTGAGACACAGTCTTACTATGTAGTTGAGACTGACCTGGAACTCACTATGTAGCCCAGGCTGGTCTCGAACTCACAGCAATCCTCCTGCCCCAGCATCCCAAGTGCTGGGATTACAGGCATGCGCAACCACACCCGGCCTAGAATTTTTTTTTTTCAGTACCGGGGATCAAACTCAGGACCTTGTGCTTGCAAAGCAGGCATGGTGCCACTGAACTAAATCTCCAGCCAAAAATAGAATTTTAAAGTGAGTATATACTCTTGTCAAACTCAAACAGATTAAAAATCTTTTAAAATGTGAACACACTGGCAATCTCATCATTACATTAATAAACCAGAAGATAGTCTTATGGTAAAAAGAAACAGGACGGGAAATAGAACCTGAACCTTTAAAGAAAAACTCCAATTTTTCTTCCAAATCAGAAATAGCAGTGGTCCCCCAAGCTCAGACATTGCAATGTTTTGATAATAATGTTAAAAAATTTCTTTCCAAGACTAATGTAGCTCATGAAATTTCTTTTCATATATTTCATAATTTCAAAATATTTCATAATTTCCTTTCATAATTATTCTGGACTATCTGGCAACATAATATATACTACTGTTGGAGATCAACTGTATTTTAATATCAAAGAGGTACACAAAGCTTTTTCAGTAATCTGAGTATCACTTCAAACAAGCTATCATGATCTGAAATTCTCTGAATTAAAACAAAAGCTAATATTTAGTAAATGTGTATCATTTTAGGGCACATTTTAGGTTTTTGCGGTGTAAAACTTAGCCACATTTATTCTTTATTAAAAGAAAGTTTTTAGAAAATGGGACACATAAATAAATAAAATGCAAGCAACAAAATACAGAGTAACACAGTCATGGGCCACATAATGGCATTTCAGTCAACATACAAGGCAGTTACCATAAGATTATATTGGCTGGTGGTATCCAAGATACTTTAATTTACATAAATACATTCTCATTTTCTCAAAACAGAATCATCAAACAATGCATTTCTCTGAACATATCATGACTATTAATGGATCTAAGTCAGAAATTCAGAGTCTCAGGGATAATCATGCCATCAGAATATTTTCCTCCCAGTGTGGAGGACCAAACCCATGGCTTTATGCCTGCCAGGCAAGCACTCTAGTGCTAAGCTATACCTGCAGTTCCATGCCATCAGAATTTTAAAATGCCACAATCAACTTCACCAAATTTCCTCATGCTGGGGCACAACCTTCATTCCCTCCCCTCCTCACTCACCCCAAATGAAAGGACAGGGTATGCAGATGCCCACCTCAGGAGAGCAAAGCCCTGCTCCCACACCACAGCAAAGAGAAGGAGAGGAGAAAGAGGAGGAAGGAATGAAATGCATGTGGAGTTTTCCACAATCTCACTGTCTTTCCTCTCCCCTTTCTTTCTTGCACTATAAAAGACCCTTGCACACATGGACACACAGTCAGACAGTGATCTGAGGCACTATGAGATCCCTTCGTCACCTCAGAGCTATTTTTGAACAAAGCCTTTCTTCTTTCCACCAAAATAATGACCTCCCATGCTTTTGTAGAGGTGAGGATATGCACCTGAGCATCAGGTAACAGCACTGGGACCAGAACAGCAAGTAACACTCTCATCACATTCATTTATATCAATACCTATCCTTAAAACTATTTTTCTCCACTAAACTAAGCTTAGTTCTTCCACAGGTACTTTACTACCAACTCACCTTACTTGGAAGAACCTTATATGATTGTTTTTCCTCTCCAGTGTCTTTGTAACTTCCATATATAGCTTTCTATCTTAAGCACTCTCAACTTTTTGACACTGTCTCCCTTGGTTTTCTTATATTATACTCTGTCCCCTTCTTTCTTTGTTCATTCCTCCCTTAAATGTTTCTGATCTCCTGAGTTACATCTTCATCCCTATATTACCTTTACATAGTATTGATGTAGGATCAAATGAATAAAAACTAGATACAAATAAGGCAAGTAAATTGAGACTTTAAAAATGTACTTAACCAGGCAGGGGGATTTAGCTCAGTGGTTCTGCCACTTGCCTCACAAGCATAAGGTCCCGAGTTAGATTTCCAGTACGGGGGGCTGGGGGACACCCCTGTACTTAACTGCTGCTTCAAGACACAGAAGTTACTTATGTCATTTTCCCTTCCAGGAAACTCACTCAAAAAAAATTTTTTTTTTTTTTTTTGCGTAAAGGTCTTAAAGACAATATATCCAGGTCAATAAATATAAGGGTCTTAAAGCCTATAAATTCC